TATAAAAAGGCAGGGAGAGACTACAGTTCCCTAGGCCGATGCCTCTAATCCTCTACCCCACCACATGTACTTTCCCACCCTATTCCCCAACCAGGCCCACTGCCCAGAATCCCTTCATCTTTTGATCCAAGTATTCGAAGTGCCCTCCTATGCAACTACAGATGCCAGGACTGAACCTTTTTTGTTCAGACGGCTTCCTCTTCTGTCAGTGACTTACCGGACAGAAATGTGTTAACTAAGGGCAATGGACATTTGGAGGCAACATGGGAGAAGCAACTTGCACTCATTTTTCTATAAAATATCCTCAATACGCATCTGAGATGTATACAGCCCAGGGAATAAGTAGGTCCTGAATGAGCTCCTGAGGAAGAGGAAGAGTTAACAAAGATGTAGAGAAGCAAAAAACCTTGTAACTGGTGGCCAAATGTGAGCAAGGGAGCTACAGTTGGGACAATTCAGGGTTCAAGTAAGTAAAAGGTAAGAAACCTACCAAAAGCTAAGGAAATGGAGCATAGAGAAAAAAGGAGTTTTTGAGTTAACTGCAGAATGGGAGCCTGCATAGGAGAGAACAGCTTTGCAAACTTTGGCCCAACTCCATCTACAAAACATTTTTCCAAGTAATCTTTCCCTTAACAGATTGTACGTTTTATTTTGAATTCTAGAATTCCACTGTGGCTTGGCAGTAAGTTATGTGCCTAGCAACCCCAAATCTCCTATGTCCTCAGTACTCACAAAAAAATCAGGAACTGTTCATCAGAAATTATACAGTCCCCATGCTGAATGTGCTTTTTATTTAGGTTTTTTGAAAAGTTAATGAATTCAGGGGAATGAAAATAGATGTTGGAAATAAAAATGTGGGTATCTCTAGCTAAGAAAATTATCAAATGTAAATGATTCCTTTCTTCGTTGGGTTTTATAAAAATATGTGATACTTAAGCACACTGAAGTTTTAAAGTCGGCTGATTATATTGTACAAAGGTATTTTTGGCCCTTTAAAAATTATTTTCCTACATTAAGAAAAGTTTTCTTATATTCAAAACTTTTTATTGTGACTCAGGTTTTGTGTCTCTGTATAGACACACATATACAGGTGTTTTTCTTTGCACACTTGTTTTGCACAGGTAAAATAATGAGATTAAATAATGCCCAGGTATGCAGGTCAACTGACTTTTATGGTAGCTAGATTAAGGAAAGCATCTGATGAATGGACAAAAGAAATCACATGATATTTCTTTGTATCTTTCCATCTCTCTTCCCCTTCCCCAGCACTCTACTAAAGAACGTCAGGAAATCTTACGTAATTGTTTGGAAAGTCCACAGGAAAACTAAGTTGCAAGTCTCAGGCAGATAGAACATGAAGCAGTTTCCCATATTTGTTAGAATGGTGATTTATTTTCAGAATGTAATGCCAAAATAAATTTTATATTCAATACTTGTAGAGTCTTTCCACTCAGAGGACTCTTATTGGTCTTGAATGTGGAAAAGGCATCTGTTCAGGGCAGCGAGTAATGTATGTTGTTTTACTCTAGAAAATTTGGTTTTAGCTTTGATGACACCCAGTGTCAATGGAATGCAATAAATGTTTTATACTGCTTTCTGATGTTTAGGTATTTCCCTTTAACATCCTCAACTGCATTTTTCTCCTTGAAAAACGCAAGCCTTACTGTTTTCTGTTTGGAATGGAGAAAAAGATAATTGATAAGCAGATAAGCTGGATATTTTTGTCTCAAAGCCAGTCAAGTTTCTTTTTTGGACTCAGTGTATAAAAGGGACTAAAGGAAGCTCAAGGACAATGGCATTGTCTTCATATAAAGGAGCAAATTTTTCCTGGTTAAAAATCAGAGGTGAATCCACTAAATTGTAAATTTCAAAGACTATCTCAAATAACCTTGGAAAAGTAAGGTTGTAAGTGCTGTAGTTTCATTTTTCCCACTTTATAACCACCCAAGGGCACCCCCCCACCCAGCTGTATATAAGTAAACTATAATATGAACTATGGTCTCTTTCTACTCAGAGAAGAAATATTAACAGCAGCGATTCTAAATAGACAGTGATAAATTTTTAATTGGTCTGTAAAGAATTATAAGTAAAAGAATATTAGATACTAGGTTTTTAGAATTTTAAGTATCCATGAAAATTAGTCTTTCATTCCTAAAGTGCTTGACAATTGATTACTTTGGATCTTAGTTATTGGGGGTGGGGACACAACACAATCTTTTTATTATTGTGTAAAGAAGTTCTAATTCCACCTATTTATATTAAATATTTTTCATATGCTAAACATATGTGCACACATACAAATTATCCATTTTTCCTTTGAGATCATATAATTCAGTTAGTGAAATATTTCACTCTTCTTTAAGAAAAATTCCTATGCAGTTATGCAACACTGGGCCACTATTTTAATAAGATGAAGACAGTCTCTAGACTCATTCTTTTTCAACATCTGACTTCACTACCATATGTGCAGCACAACAGTGACATCTTAAGGCCAAGTAACTAGAACTCCTTTAGCCAGAGAAAGAATTTGAATTGGATCTGTTCTCAAAGAAATTTCATCCTGTTATCAAGTAGTTTTCAAGTTCCGTTTGCAACTGGTAGATCTTTGTAAATGCTACTTTATGACTTCTTTTGCAGTCTTTGTGAACATTTTAATGTGCACTGGTAAACACTAACATTTTACAAAGACATATTGTATATTAATGCATGCATTTCATTGCATAGTTTATTGACACTCCCCTTGTAAAGCTTTTATGGAAGAAAAACAAGCCACAGCAGTATAGCAAAAGAGGCTTAATCTTTATAAATTGGGGCCTTTTCTGTCTCTTTGCTAGCCTAGGTGGCTGTATACAAATTCGGGTGGGAGGAGGCAAGAAACACCTCTTAACATTTAAGGTTTTCTACATGGATGAACTCTAGTCAATTCAAAATAAATTGCTTACTTTAGTAAAAAATTTTACCATTTTATAAAAAAAAATTAAATCATGACATGTTTAATTGAAATGGCTGTATTGTAATTAATATTTTGAGATAATTGTGATTTTGAGCTTCAATTATATATAAAAAGTTGTCATTTTTGTATGTGCTAAAAATATGTATCACAATTAACAGTACTTTTTAGTTGAACTACATACATATTGATGTAAATAAAAACTGAATGAAGACATATTTACTACTTTATTAACATAGATTGTGAATGTACTTAATGGTTTTTTTGCAGTATGAGACCATAATGACTTTGAAAGCTGCTTCATTTTATGTGCAAAGGAGTCCTATGAATCTATATTTTAAACTTACTGAATCAGTGAAATTAATTACTTTGTCAGTTAATTTGCAAATGCAAGCTGTACTCTCCAGTTTATTTTATGTATTGACACTAATTGGTAAAGGTGTACAATGTGATTAGAATGCATTCTGAAGATGCTTTCTGTACAGATACAAAATACAGGGACTAAAATAATGCTGTGCAGTGTATAGCAGAGCCATTTTTCGGCTTTGGTGTACTCAATTTTTTCAGTATTTAAAAACGTGTTTTGAATAACATAAAAGTCTCTTTATTGTATAAATAATAAAATGTCACATTATTGTAAAGTGTCTTTTGTCTAATATCGAAGCAGATTTCTTAGCCACAGAGTTGTAGTATGAAAAGGGCATTTTTTTAAGCCAAAAACAACTATTATAATCCATATGTGAAAATGTAATTTTTATTATTAACATGTAGTATTTATCTTTATTAGCAATGAGTTTTTTCATAATATGAGCATGCCTCAATCACCCAAAAGCTAGCTAGCTACCTACCTGCCTATCTATATAAGTTAATATACATTCTGTTGATTGGCTACTTAATAGAATCACATGCTAAGTTTTATTATGACTGATCAGCCTACCTCTGATATTTTTGGTACAAATAAAAATATTTCTACTTTATTTTTACTAAATCAAGTTAACCTGTAACAAATTCCCTTTTAGAAAATTTCCACATGACTACAAGTTTAGTCTTACGAAGATCAGAAATAAATTTGAGAAGTAAGGCCCTGGAAATAAAAAAAATAAATGCACAAGGTTGGATTAGAACACACCAACAGAGTAGATAATGTATACAAATATCTGCTTAGTAAATTACTTAAGAAATTTCGAAGACTTTATGTGGTATATGTTATTAGTTATTTTCTGTTGCTGACATCTATAGAATTAAAATAAGCTCTTCAGTACTTTTTAAAGAAGAACAAAAGGTATTTTTAAACACACTGAGGGAAAAATATGCAGATCGAATCCCTTCAAATTTCTTGAATCTAGAAGTACTAGGTTACTGTATGGAAACTTAATAGTAAGAAATCATTTTAAAAAAACTTGTTTTAAATTCAAAATTGTGAGAGCAACTTAAACAACGCTTTTACTGTTTTCTCTGCCAATAACTACATCTCGTGTAACATTCCTGTTACATTAGATATTATGACAAAATGGTTTCATAAAATGTAGGGAAAAGGCTAGACAAGAAACATTTCAACTAGATTAAAACAAAAGCAAGACAGTGAATGTTAATTTAAAACTTATACCAAGACCAACCACATCACAAAAGTCTTATCACGGGTAAGGAAAAGCCTTATTTTTTTAAATGCCAAAGAACAGTTTTGAATAAAATTCAATTCAATTTTATATCTAACAAAAAAGGTAGAAATTAGATGGTCATATTCAAATCAACTAGTCACATTAAATGTAACACGAACAGAAATGGTGGGGAAAATCCCACTTCTACAAAAATGCTTTCTTATTATAAAAATATCAAACTAACTTAAATAAAAAATCACCTTTGAAGAAATTGTTTACTATCTTATAAGGAATGAAAGTAGGATAAATCTTATGCAAAACATTCAGAATAAATGCATGAACACTGTATGTGGTTATCACCATTACAAATGAACGATACCTTAGAAAAACGTTACTTATCAATGTAAGAAGTCTAAGAATTAACATGACCAAGATTATAAAACAACTCCAATTTAAGTAGGAATTCGGTCTCTCAAATATTCCAGAATAGCAGCTGTTCCTTTCATTAATATGGCTGCTCGAGGAACACGGAATGGATTTCCATCTAGTAGTAGTGTTCTAAATAAAAGAAAGAATTAAGAATTTTAACATTTTCCATTAGGGAGGCTTTTCTTCTAATTTCAATTGCAATTTTATAAATCAATTCGTGTATTTTTTTCTATTTGTCCCTTTTCAAATCTAAGCATTTCAATAGTTGAAATTAGAACCACAATAATAACCCAAACAACATTAATTTAATACTTATTATATGAAAGGTGTTGTGTTGAGTAATTTATGTTCACTGACTCTCTTTTATCTTAACAATCCTATGATGTAGACACCATTGATATTCCTATTTAATAGGTAAGGAAACATAAGTTCAGAGAAGTAAGACAGACATGTCCCAAGATCATACAGCTATTAAACAGAGGAGCTGTGACGTGAGCCACCATTTTACCCATCTTCTTCTCAATCTTATAATGACCATATACTACATGGTTAAATTATATTTATACATTAGAATGAGCATACTTGTCAGTATACCAAGGACTATAATGTAATCAATATATCCCCCCTCCGCCCTGGGAAACATTAATTCCTGCTCTCTACCTCCCTTGACCAGATGCACGCAGAAAATCTATTTACATGTTCTAAAATGAGGTTCAATTTCAGATTTGAGGACTGGTTGATTTGTTTCTTTAAATAATTAATGAAATAAATTATAAGATAAAGAGACTTTTAATTTTCAAAAATTTAAGTGTTTGTGTAAACAAAAGCCAAAGGATTCAAACCATATTACACAATAGATCTAGATGATATCCTCAATATTTCTATGGGCTGTGGGAATTCTTGCAAGGCTGATTTTCTTAATTTATAAAAAGGAATTAATTACAGTCACTCCTCATTATTCACAGCCTCTATATGTGCTAATGTGCCTATGACTAAAAATTATTAGTAACCCCAAAATCAAGACACAGGGCACTTTCAAGGTCATTTTTGGATATGCAGAGCAGCAAAAAATTTGAGTCAATCACTAGGCACATTCTCAGCTGAGGTCAGAAAGGTGATGCTCTCCCTTCTTGTGTCAGTTCTCACACTGTAATCAAGCATCCTTCCTGTGGTCTACTTAGTGATGCAACATTTTTTGCATTTTTGTACTTTCTGTAGGTGATTTCACTGTTTAAAATGGCCTGCAAGTGTGGTGCTGAAGTGTTTTCTACTTTTCCTAAACACAAGAGGGCTGTCGTGTGCCTTTCAGAGAAAATATATATACCAGATAAGCTTCATTCAGGCATGAATTATAGTGTTGTTTGGCCATAGTTAAATGTTAATGAATAAATAATATTAAATACAGAAATACACATAGAACAAGGTTATGTATTGACTAGTTCATGAAAATGTGACCAGAGGCTCCAAAGAGCCTAACTTTATACTTCCCCTAGCAATAATGGTTCAGTATTCACTAATCTGGTGTTCACAGAGACTTCATAAAATACAACTACTGCAAACAACAAGAACCAACTGCATTTGCCTCTTACAATTCACTAATATGAGCACCAAAGCAGATGCCAGTGCTGCCCTAGCAAAGTAAAATATGCCCAACCATCATATATAGTTTTCAATAAATTAAATAAATTAAATTACTTCTGACACATTCTGCTTAAGTACTTGGCTTTCTGTTGACATCTCAAAACTCTCTTTATATTCATTTAACAAGCACTTATGGAGTGCTTACTGTGTTCTAGGCACTGGGACAACTCTTTTCTAAAGGAGGAAAAAGAAATGATACAAATGAGTCCAAACAAAGCAGGATGGAAAATCAGAGGGAGGGACTAACTCTGCTTGGAGAAGAGGGAAGGTTTGGAGAAGAGGGATGATATTTAGGTTGATTACTATAAAAGCAGGGTGGAGGCATTTGAGGTTAAGGTAACAGCTAACACAAAGAATAAGAAAGACCACTCTGGGCTTGAAATAAATGGTGACAGTCTGTAATCAGATTCTGAGCAACCTTGTATGCATAACTGGGGAGTTTATATTTCCCTGACAATTTTTATGCAGTGCAGTTTCAAGTTATACACATACAGTGATGACAAAAGTATTAGAAAACAATCAGTTACTATATTGACATATATTATAGCATATAAACAAAGCTAAAAAATATATTATTTGGTAAAACTTGAAAAATGGAATTGGGATTCTGGATTTTGTTACCAGTTATTTTAATACATTAAATTTTTTACTTCAACTTTCCTGCAAGAGTACCTCAACAAGAGAAAAAAAAACTTATAAATCGATTAAATGGAAAAACTTAGTAGAATGGTGTAGTTACCTTAAGTTCACACAATTACCAAGCTCTGGTGGAATTTGTAGGAGGTCATTATTCTGAAGGTCCAAGGTGATCAGATTTTCCATTGCCTTCATTTTCTGAGGATCCACAGATCCAACCTGATTGTTACTAATCAAAATTGTTTCAAGTGTGGGGATGTGATACAGAACTTCAGGTAGTATTCTGAACCTATTAAAATATGAACAGAACACCTAAATGTATTGAAATCAAGGGAAAATCATTCCTTCAAATAGATGATCCTAAGTTTGATATCATCATGTAGTTTCATTTAGTGTAATTTATTTTATATTTGGTTTAAGTCCTGTGTTCAAATTTTCAAGAAATGAACTGATTTTGGAAACCTTAAAATATATGTTAAGTGGACAGACTTGTAACATTTTCTGTTTATTGTGTAAATCCAACAAAAGTTTAGAGTAAATTCTCCCATGTTTTTCTTTTCACATTTAGGAGACAAGAAAATCCTCCTGAGATTCTATATAAAACGTCCCCATGTAGGTATTCTTCCTTAGTTTGCTTTTACTTCTTATAAAACAGAATTACTACCAATATATTAAATAAATATTAGAGATTTATATTTTGCTCTGATTGAAGCTTCCAAAATGAGTGCAATTTTGGTTCTTGAAAAGATGACAAACTAACATAGGCTGCTGCCTGCTCATCCAAAGCAACGCTGAAGATGTCACAAAAAATAAGGCAAGGCTGATTGCTCTCAGAGCAATACTCAGCAATTAATGCAAGATTATTGAGGATCTTTTGGCATGGTTACAGTGTGAGATAACTGTGGCATGGACTAGAAAAGACAAGGGCTGGGCTGAAGGAGAGATTTATAGCTATGCCCTTTTAACTTCCCTATACTGCCCTTCTTTTGCTGCCTTGATGTTTTAAAAAAAAAAAAGTAAGGAAGGAAGGAAGGAGGGAAGAAGAAAGAAAGAAGAAAGGAAGAAAGGAAGAAAGGAAGAAAGGAAGAAAGGAAGAAAGGAAGAAAGGAAGAAAGAAAGAAAGAAAGAAAGAAAGAAAGAAAGAAAGAAAGAAAGAAAGAAAGAAAAAAGCAATAGCAAGTGTAAACTCAAGACAGCTCTGAAGTTCCAAAGGGACCGGAGAGTTAATGACTAGGAGTGCAGAGGGACCAAACTGCTCCAGAGCAGTCCTTCCTCTTCTTCCCACCAATGCATGGACAAGGTAATTTAAAAACATGTAGTTCACCTGCTGACACAGAAGTTAGGGTTAGTTTTTGCCATCTTCCCTAAGACATTACTTGACAATGTGATTGACAGCTCAATAGACAATATAGAACTAATAGTTCAGTTCACAAATAAAAATTAGCAGAGATCTGAGAAGTGCATATATTTTTAAAAATGACAACAATGATATAACCTACACATGAGAAACCATGAGCAATAATGAAGCAGACAGAACAAAAATTTAAATAGGCAGTATTTTAGACACATCACTGTGCCTTAGCTTCCTTAATTGCAAATGAGGAATAATAATAGTACTAAACTTATACACTTGTTATAAGGACTGAATGATTATATTTCAGCTGGAATACAGTACATAAATGTTAGCTATTAATATTTAGATTGTTACCAGAATCAACTTGCATTATAGGAAACAAATGACATAGATGTTAAGAGCCCAACTGCTGGAGGCAAGATCTGGAATCGCTATAATGTACTAGTTATGTGAACCTTAGCAAAACATAAATCTCTAATATTTACTTAATATATTGGCAGTAATTCTGTTTCATAAGAAGTAAAAGCGACCTAAGGAAGAATACCTACATGGAGACATTCTATAGAGAAGCTCAGGAGGATTTCCTTAACTTCCATTCTTTGATTTTTAAATGAACATAATGACAGAAACCACCTTCTGTGAGGATTAAATGAGTTAATATATGCACTTAGTCCTGTGCCAGCAGATAATAAGCCCCCAGTAAATATTAGCTACTCTTAATTATTAGCAGTATCTTTAGAGTGTTTGCAGAATAAAATCTATTAGTTGCGATACAAAGCTCTGACAGGACTCGCTACTGCTCACATGTCCAATTTCATTTGTTATTTCTACTCCTCTACCCCCTCACTTTATGTCCCAAGCCATATCAAACTTCTTAAAGTGTTCCAAACACACCATGTTCTCACATGTTTGTGCCTTAGTACATGCCATTTGCCCCACCTGGGATGCCCTATCCCTGTGTGTCTGGCTGATGTCTCAGTTTCAATGCTATCTCCTCTGCCCTCAGGCAATCTCAGGAAACACCTTTACCTATACACTGCGTTTTCACCATAGCAATTATAATTATTTATTTACATATCTGTCTTCCTACTAGGCTATAAGTTTCTTAAAATTGTTAAAAGGAACCAAAGTCTACTAAATAATCAGCTGTGAAAATTCTAAGAAAGCAATATCACTTTCAATTATAAGTAGAATAAGGTGAAAATAAACCTGAATATTTAAATAAAGTAAACACACGGGGCCTTTTTATTTGGCTCTTTTAGGTATATTCTCTAAGACCTACAAATTGTCCACATAAAAATCTTCAGTCACAGATTAGTCTGCTCTGTCTCTCACCTGTTAAAGGAGAGATTAATTGTTTGTAGTCTTATCAGCGATTCCATTTCTTCAGGCAAAGAATTTAAAAAATTGTTCCTAAATTGGAAAGAAAAAGATGATTTACAAAGTTGAAAATCTGTACAACTTTAATTTATAATTAAAGTGTTGATCAGGGCACCTGGGTGGCTCAGTTGGTTTAACATTTGCCTTTGGCTCAGGTCATGATGCCAGGGTCCTGGGATCGAGTCCCACATTGGGCTCCCTGCTCAGGGGGGAGTCTGCTTCTCCCTCTCCCTCTGCCCCTCCCCTCTGCTCGTGCTCTCTCTCTCTGATGCGCGCTCTCTCAAAATAAATAAATAAAATCTTAAGAAAAAATAAAGTGTTGATCAGACAAAAAATTATGTAGCTCGGTTTGTTAGTCCTTGATCTGATCTCATTAAGGCTGAGTCCCGAGAATTCTGAATCAGTCAGCTGCCTCAGGTATTTGATTAGTGTGCCAAATCCAAATAATACCAATACGCAACCAACTGATAAAGCAACCAACTCTTTAATAATACATTTAACAGGGCAAACACTGTAAACTAATCATTTATCTCCTTCAAACTGATCTCAGCAATCCTTCTCACAGATAGGGCCCTTGAGATCATGCCTGTAAATACCACATTATTTGATTCCACAAATATTTGATTGGTGTTTAATACATGTATCTTGCATACAGACATGAAATTCTACTCTAAGCAGAACTGTAAAATTTTATGAAAAAAAATGAAACAGGAAAGTGATGAGATTCTATATATTTAGAAATTTAGGGCTTTCTACTACATAGGTATTAAGCAAGTTCATTTCTACTCTAAGTTTAGAATTTCAATTTATACAATGCATATATTTTTTAAGAATCTTAGAATGAAGCATGGCAGTAAACAGAATCTCACTTACTGTTAGAAGGATCTGGGAACAATATTAAAAGAAAGGTTAACAACAGGAAGGCAGAAGGATTCTAGAACTTATATAATTACTTATAATAGAAACTATTTGTGAGAAAATTATATTTAACTGGATGGCTACCTATTACAACTGGGTAATTTTCTCTAAATTTCTTTGTGTTCAGAAGTCAAGCCTAATAATATGTTAAGTCATACTTTCTACACCTATGTTTTCTTTTCTCTGTACTTTTCTCTAGTTATTGTCTTTATTAAGTTATATCAAATAACCTACTGCTGGTTTGTATCTTTTTCCTAGAGTCTTATATACCTACTGATATCAGATATGAAAGTGTACATTAGGGGAGCCTGGGTGGCTGTCTGTTAAAGCGACTGCCTTTGGCTCAGGTCAAGATCTTAGGGTCCTGGGATCGAGCCTCACATCAGGGTCCCTGCTCGGCGGGGAATCTGCTTCTCCCTCTCCCTCTGCTGCTCCCCCTACTTGTGCTCTCTCGCTCTCTCTCAAATAAATAAAATAAATAAAAATAAAAAAATAAAAGTGTACACTGGTCACTTAATTAGAAACCTAAAGGTATAGACAGTGGCGCACACACACACACACAAACACACACACACACACACACTGAATGGGACCAAAATAAAGAGAGCAGTAATAAGTACATGAATTCATTCTCTCTACTCCATTAAAACTGAACTACAATGTGGTTTTACACTGTTTTGCCGGTGTAATTGCCACCCCAAAACAGAAGCAAGTCTACATTTAATAGGAGCAGAGTATTAGATTTGCTTCAATCCCATAAGCCAAAAAAAAAAAAAAAAAGTCTCTATAGGCAGAATAAATCTTTAAACAGATACAATTTGGCTTATTGTTATTTACCTATTGCTTGAGCAGGGCAAGAGGAGCTACAGCTTAAATAAACTAAAAGCACTCCAGTAATTATATATGAGTAGGAAGTGCAGATAATAGAGCTATAGCTTACAAATAAAGACTTAAAGCCCAAACAAAAAAATACTTGACTATCTACCTCTGAGTCATTTATTATTACCCTCAAAGAACCATGGCAATTCTGATCCTGTCACTTCAGCTTAGGACTTATTTTTCTTTCTTTTTTGCTGCAATATATATATTTTAATTCAAAGTGAATCAACAGTAATACACCATAAATTCTTATTTTGACACTCACCAAAATAGTCACCTGGAAAACCCGCTTTTTGTGACAAAGTACAGAAGGCTTGGTCACATTTAAATCACTGAGAATTAGAAATACTAGCGCAAACTGTAATAGACATTACATCCATAAAAATTTTCCCAGTCCTTATTGTAATATTGCACAGTGCAATTGCTACATGGCAAACTAGTGTAGCACAGAAGTAAAAGCAAAAACAAACCAAAGAAAGAAAGCCACAAGTCTAAAACTGTTAAACAGTTAACAGTTCAAACTTACTAATCAAATCTATTATCATTGGGTTCATTAAAACAAATCTTCCTACACCTTGCAGTGTATGATTTAACTTTTACTTAACACAAACCAAGATTAAAATTAGTAGCCGAGATGCGAAAAAGTGAAAAGGCTTTGCTACTACAGTAACATATTTAAACACCCTGAAGGAAAAGAAAAGTTAAGTATCAGGGTATTTGGTAAAAAAAAAATAATAATAATTTGCAAATTAAAATAGTATGCAAATATGCAACTTGGAAGTCATGCAGTGTTTAAGAAAGCAGTAAAACCAAAGAAAACTGGTAAAATGGTTTTAAAGAAGGTATAAATCCAAATTCTTTTGTCAATATGTTGAATTTAAAAGTTAGCAGGATTTTGACATTTTTAATTTTTAAACACATTAAAAAGCCCATGATTAGAATCGGTTAAGAGCAGTGTACTCAACTAGGGTACGCCTTTATCAAACTTGACTATTATGAAAACATTTACTGTCCATTTAACAAGACCATCTGAGTCTTGGAACTGAAATACAGAAAATACGACATTTCAGGGTAGTAAATATGGCCCTGAATGAATATAAAACTGCGCCAGTTTTGTACCTGTTGTACAAACAGAAATTGATCCTTTGCACTTGGTGTTTCTGAAACATCCGCTGCCAGCATTGATTCTTTTCCAAGAAGCGAGCAGATACTAGTGATCTGCCGGACCATATAAATAAAAATTAATAAGCTGTGGAGGGCAGCAAGTTTACTTAAATAGTGACTCCATAAATTTGCCATCTGTAAATAATCTTTTAAATTAATCTTAGGCTACTCCTTTTTTCTGTGTAATACATATATGTATAAAATGCATAGAATTGATTACTAAAAACACTGAAACTTGTGGGGAAAATTAAGTCCTTCATTTTCAGTGCGACTAAAAATGTACAGCTGGTTTTTTATTTTATGATCTAATACTGTAATTTTTAAAATCAATTTCAGGCACATTTATTTCATTGATGATTATTAAATAAAACACTGCTTGTATTAATGGAGTAAAGAAAAGTTTATCCATTATTAGCTTATTGTCAACGCTGTATTAGAGCTGTAGTAGTGGTATGCAATTCATTTATCAAAGAAATGCTGTAAATCCAAAACATTTGGAGAGTTTTACACTCAAATGCTTTGTACTGTTTATTCCAGTAAATGCTGTAAGATTATATTCCAGATTTTTAAGGAAAAAAGTTAAGTCAAGTCTGCAAGATACAGCTTTCTCAAGTGTCTACAATGCCAGTATGAAAATAAAAAAATAAGTTACATTGACACATCCAAGTTTTTTATATGCAGTGATGAGCACAAACATTAATAGAGATAAAATACTGATGCAAATAATACACCCCAAAATAACATATGTAATTACTTTCCATCATTTACAATACAGTAGTTACAATGACACTCCAAACAGAAAAGCAAAGTAAAAAATCAAAACCCCAACTTCTATTTCATGTAATTAGACTTATACAGAAATTAGAAGGCTAAATAACAACTAATCACCTAATTTCACAGCTATCTGAAGTGGCAATCGTTATATAGCAGCTTATCTATGATACATTCAAGATAAATGATACAATTTATTACTTGCCCATAAGCTAAAACACAGCCTGTTTAATACCTTTCTTTAAATTCCACCTCTACACTACAATATACTTGAGGTCAATGCAAAAAAGTAGCTACCTTTTATATAGGAAATGGATGATTAAGTCTTTGATGCTGTAAAAGCAACTTCATTTAAACATAACCACAAACCACCAAAAAAGAAAAAAAAAAGAAAGAAAGAAAAGAAGGGAAAAACCCAAGACACACTTCCTAGGAAAGAAAAAGCATGTAATTTCTGTTCCTGACGGAATGTATTAAATAAGCAAACACCACCAACAAGCAAAACAAGTACTACAATGTAAAAATACTTAAAAAAAAAAACCCTCTCACATGCATAAATGAACAATTGCACACAAAGAACTCACATCTTTTCAAGCTTCAATAGTAAATATTCTACTACTATTTATTAAATACTGCATGGTTTGCCCAAGCCAAGATGAAACCACATCATGAATCAATGAGCATTTTGCATTTTCTTTCATTACCTACTCAAAGTCATGCCTACTGAACCTCTAAACATTTTATTAAATCCAATTATACAGCAAACACTCCCAAAATAAACTTAGATTGTATTGCAGTTTCACTTAACAGTATATAAAATGCTGTGTTGTGACAGATATCAACTATCCATTAGATACTGAATCAATTTTTCTTAAGCACTACTAACTGCTTGCTTTTCTTGAAGCTAGATCATTCTGAAAAATCACACAGCAGAATTCAGCTATAGCAAACATGCTGGCCTCTTAGTAAGGAAAAAACAGCTACAACCTGAAATCATACCACACAAAACCAAAAATGAACATTACTCTATCAAAAGAAAACTAAAGAGTAGATCTGAATTTTAAGTGCTGCAGTCCTCAACATTTATATATAGGTAATAACATTAACAACCTCAAATATTTAAGGCACTATGTGTGGGAACGGTTTACAATGCAGCTGAGATTATTAGAACAACATTTAAGAGCAAAGTCTAGGCAACATTTTGCCCATGCAAAGACACATGCAAATGTAAAGAACAATAGCTCAATTTCTTAGGTAAGGGACCCAACATTTATACACTAAGACACAGATAATACAATTCACTTGTATGCTGTAATTCTGACATATGTGCATCTGTTGCTCTAAGTCTGTACACAGAATGGCTTCCCAAATGTGGATGTGTCTTGCACTAGTTAGAAGGCAATTTTATAAAAAATAGCAGGAGCAAAACTGGACTTCTGCTCCCATAAGTCACCTGTCTAGAGTTACTACATAAGAAGATAACATGACCAAAGACAAGTTATACCAAATGTGCAAAACACATTAAAAGTGATTTTTTTTTTTTTTTTAAAGCTCAAAGTTGTTTAAATTGCACCCAAGTCTACATGATTCAAAAATAATTTTCTTGTGCCATGGCTAATATTTATTAAATACCATGTTTTTATTTTTAATCAAATGTTTATATCATTGAGCTTCCTCAATATACTCTTTTTGAGTGTTCACATATATGGATACTGGCTGAGTTTTGTTGGACTCAATGGAAATCCAGTATATGCAGGTGATGCTGCAATGTAAGAATGTGGTGGGAAGATTGGTTTGTAACGGAGTCTGATGAATGGTTGGGGATGGTAACAGATGGGGAAGGAGAGGCGAGAGACTGCTGTGAAACATCTGTACGGCAGGAGTCTGACTCTCAGTTTCCGACAAACAGCAGCAAACCATCATCATTGCTGACTCCCCAAGCCCTGCAGTGAGTTTGATTACTATTAGCAGTGACACTGATGAGGAGGAGACAGCGCAGAGACGCTCACTCAGAGAATGTAAAGATAGTCTGGATTGTGAAGCTTGCCAGAGCACTTTGAATATCGATCAGATGTGTTCATTAAGTAGTCCTGACAGTACCCTGAGCACCAGCTCCTCAGGACAGTCCAGCCCATCCCCTTGCAAGAGACCGAACAGTATGTCAGATGAAGAACAGGAAAGTGGTTGTGATACTGTGGATGGCTCTCCAACATCAGACTCTTCGGGACACGACAGTCCCTTTGCAGAGAGCAGCTTTGTGGAAGACGCTCATCAAAACACAACTGGTGAGCTCGGCCAACACGGAAACCAAACCAGCTGTTTGTACTGTTGTGGTGCCACCAATGGGACTAGAGAATGGATTAAATGCCGAAGAGCATATGGCAAACACAAATTCTATATGCCAGCCATTAATAAAAGGCCGATCCACTCCTGGGAGATTAAACCAGTCTTCCACGGTGGGTAATCATCAGCAGAAACTGACATCAGATTTCCAGCAGCAGCATTTGAATTTCAGTCAGGTTCAAGAGTGGGCATCAAGAGTGGAATGGAAACTTCGGACATCGAAGACAGCAAGCTTATATCCCTACTAGTGTTACCAGTAATCCATTCACTCTTTCTCATGGAAGTCCCAATCACACAGCCATGCATGCCCATCTGGCTGGAAATGCGCATCTTGGAGGACAGCCTACTCTACTTCCATACCCATCATCAGCTCCCCTCAGTAGTGCTACACCAGTGGCCCACCTCTTAGCCTCTCCATGTACCTCAAGACCTATGTTACAGCATCCAACTTACAATATCTCTCATCCCAGTGGCATAGTTCACCAAGTCCCAGTGGGCATAAATCAACTTAGGACTTATTTAAATTAAACTTCCTATTACCCCTGCAGAGCCTTAAAGAGTTTCTTTCCTTTTGTTGCCATTCATGGTGGTCTTTTTCTTTCTTTCTGGCATTGAATGTTTACTATATTTTAAAACCAAATAGGTTGTTTTTAAGAGAAGCCATGCTAGCTGCTGTGCCAGCATAGGATTTTGAGCGTTTTATGCTATTTACTTTCAGAAAAGGAAAAACGGGAAACAAACACTTTCCATGGGTTATTTGTAGTCTTGCTTAATTAAGCATGAATTTAAAGAATATGTTAATATTTTCTAATATTTTAAATAAGCTGCCTATAAATGATAGATATTTGATTATTTCCTAAATGCTTAATTTTAGATTTGGCCTAAAATGTAATTAATAAACTAAAGAGCAATTTCCACACTTACTTAGGAAATATGAGTGAAAGAGCAAAAGTTAGGCAAAACTCAAAGACAAGTTATAATGAAAAAGTGAAGCAATAACATCAATAAATACCTGAGATCTAAAAAAGTCAATTTTTGAAGCATACATAATTCCAAGGATATAAAGGAAAGCTTATTAAAACTGAGATTGACATCAGAAACCATTTCTTTCAGTTCCACAATCCTGAAACAAAAATAATTTAAAGATGTTAGCTCTTGAATTCACTGTCAGAACTTCAAAACTACAAGCAGGCATAGGAGGAAAAAATCCTATATTATTTTTGCTAATTAAGATTTTCTGTAACTTTTACTTCTCTCACAAAAATTTCAGTTAGTTTGTATTCTATAACAGTAGTTTTCCCTTAGGCTGCATAATATAATATTCTCTGTATCTGAGTACTTCACAATGTTTTTTAACTATGATATGTCAACATTTTTAAAGTATAGGATTTTTTGTCCAAATTATCATTATATTAATCATGACTGCAATAAAACATTAAGTTAATTCCTAGTTTGGTAAGTGTCACAACTAAGCAACTTAAGTCAAAGACTTAAAGAGAAAGACTTAAATACTGCTAAGTAAGCCTAATCAACCTTAGTAATTTTAAAGCATGCTATTAACTTAACTATAAGAACAAGAAATGTTATATATGATTTACCAAGAAATGAAACTATATGAAAGAAAGAGTATCAACTGCTGTGCTAAAGAAAGATGAGTTTGGATATGTAACTGATAAAACTTTTTTGGAAAGTTTTTGGATATATGTATTGAGAGCCATACTCCTTTAGATAATTCTTCTGGAAATCCGGTCTAAAGAAACAGTATGTTTTGTTTTATTTATTGCCGTAATCAACGTTATAGTATATGATAGATTTTAAAAGTATTGTTTACAACATAGGAAAACACTTATGACAAATTAACCAGTTAAGATACAAATTGTATATGTAATTCTAAATGGGAAACAGTTTGAAATAAAACATGCCATGGGCGCCTGGGTGGCTCAGTTGGTTAAGTGACTGCCTTCGGCTCAGGTCGTGATCCCGGAGTCCTGGGATCGAGTCCCGCATTGGGCTCTCTGCTCAGCGGGTAGTCTGCTTCTCCCTCTGACCCTCCCCCCTCTCATGTGCTCTCTCTCTCTCACTCTCTCTAATAGGTAAAATCTTAAAAAAAAAAAAAAAAGAAAGAAATAAAACGTGCCATGACTAGAATAGTGATGGGACTACAAATGATCTGTCCCTTCCTTTTGTCCAAAATTTTATGAATAAGTATTATTTTCACAATCAGGAAATCATATAGTAAAAAGTATGACTTGTGAAATAAAAATTTAAGAAAGAGGAAAATGACTCAGAAACTCTCTAGATCAAGGTATGTCCTTGCTATCTTTCTACTTTGGCCCTCTAAATTGCCAAAAATATGATGAAATAACAGCAGTAACAGAATACCATACTGTTTTACATATGAATTACCAGATTGTGAAGTAAAATGAGAACTAAGTAATAAGATGATGTGTCCATCTTCATTCCCAGTTTTGATCCAGGATCCCCAACGCAAACTTATCCTGACAGCAAATCTAACTGCTCAGTTCTTCTGTCAAGTACCCTCAGAGCCCTTTAAACAAGAGAGAAGGAGATGAACTAGATCTCCTTTTGCTATGGAATCTCAAAGTTAATTCACTTTTAAGATCTATATTTGGGCTCCCTGCTCTGCGGGGGGCCTGCTTCTCCCTCTCCCACTCCCCCTGCTTGTGTTCCCCCTTTCACTGTGTCTCTGTCAAATAAATAAATAAAATCTTTAAAAAAAAAAAAGACCTATATTCTCCAAACTATGCCCTGCAAAACAGAAAGCAAGTTAAAGTTTGTCTGACTGTTTAAAAATTTTAAACATCTAAAAAACGTTTTTGACGGTCAGATGAAAGCCATTTTATTTTCCCCATCACCTTTTTTTTTTTTTTTAAAGTACTTAAGTGCTTACTAAGTGCTAGGCACTGGTTAAATGCTTTGTTGGATTATGTCATTTAATTTAATTCTTATAAAATACATACTTTATTATCTTTACTTCATAGGTAGGGAAACTAAGAGCAGCTAGTTAGCCTGTCCAAAGCCACACAGCTCACAGATCTGGGATATAGATACATGCAACTGACTCCACTGTCCAAGTTCTTTACCCTATTCTGTCTCCCCTACTGTTATTTTAATTGACAAGGTTATTTGTCAACTTTCTTTGGGTATATAGTTTACTGCAAAGTAACAATCATTTAGAAAGTTCAATATTATACTAATTTTCTCTTATAACCTAAAGATTTTGCTATAACTAATATCAACAAAGACATACTGAACAGCACAAGTACAATGCACATGACTTCTAATATTTGATAGTAAAGAATCCTTTTCTGGGAGGAAAATATTAACAGGATTATCTGGTTTTTTTTTTATTGATTTTACCATCGGTGAAAAATTCAGTGGCTTGGCAATTCATTAACATAAAGCCCAAAATGAAAATTCCTATTAATCCACATGGACCCAGCTTTGGATGGTGTCTTAAAACTTTTCCTCTAATATTTCATTACATGGAAAAAGTAATTTATACTTTTAATAATTCTAATATCCATTTTCCAAGTTTAAAATGTAAAAGAAAAAGAAATCAAATTTTTAAAAATGTATATACCTCTCAGAACTGATATTATTATGTCTCAGAGAATACTTAGGTGAATTTTGCTAACTCCCTCAAATATCAATGATGAAAAAACTTCTACATATGCTTTCAAATTCAAAACTATGAAAAAAAATTATTCTTGTCACTGAGATGCAAACACAACTGAGAATGAGTCACAACTTAATAGAAAAGGTATTATGAACAATTCTCACCTTTTAGGAATTTCACATAGCTGATTCTTACTGAAGTTAACAGAAGTGATAATGTTGCTTTTTACTGCATCAAATACTTCATCAGGAATTAAAGTTGTTTGTTTATCACTAAATGAAAAATGGTTTAAAAATGCATCATCCTTAGTAGTCCAGAAAGATATGATTATTACTTTTCAGTTTTAAAGGCCCTTAAGGATTTTATGAGTTTTCAAGGCAGCAAGGCAGTTGCTTATGAAGAACACTTTGAAGTTCTGCAAACAATGCCACAAAAACTTACGAACTCACAAAATATTAACCATTAAGAATTCAGACAACATAACATATCACAATACATTATACTATACCTTCTGAGCACTCACATACTCAGTGTGAATAAAACCAGATATATCTTCAGAATCTAAGATGTTTAGAAATCATATTAAATGATAGTAATTGTAAGTGGATTCCTCTACCTCAGAATAGAACTAAATCTATCATTTTAAAACTGTTGTCATCCCTTTTCTAACAGGAATTATCTGCCAACTTTATGTAGCTATATAGTTAACTGCAAAGGAACAATCATTTTTAAAAGTTCAACACAGGGGCGCCTGGGTGGCTGTCGGTTAAGTGCCTGCCTTCGGCTCAGGTCACGATCTCAGGGTCCTGGGATGGAGCCTCAGGTTGGGCTCTCTGCTCAGCAGGGAGCCTGCTTCTCCCACTCCCCCTGCTTGTGCTGTCTCTCTGTCAAATTAATAAAATCTTTAAAAAAATAAATAAAAATTAAAAAAATAAAAGTTCAACATTATACTAAACTGTTTCTCATAACCTAAGCCAATTTCTCTCTCCTTTAGCATGTGACAAGGTAGACAGGGGAGTGGCCTTAGACTAAACTATTCCTGTTTTTACCATTAAGGACCTTTTTAAAATTCACTTTCTCTTAACCTCAGTTCTGTGAAATTAGAATCTGAAGAGTTATTCATTGTTATGTGGGCCAGATCTTTTGCAAATTAAATTTAAATAAATTTCCTTTTCAATAAGATTTTCAATAAAGTATACATTTAATCTTAAGTGAAAGTATAGTAGTACTCTGACATTTGCAGATTTAACAATTTGTTGTGTTATAATTAGCCATTTGTCCCCACGTTCTTCTTTTACAATTTTCAATGGTTAATTCATCATCCACTTAAAAATATTGTTGATGGAATGCCAAATTAATGACTTTATTAACAAGAAAACAATTATTACATATAATGTCCAATATAGAGGAATCTGTAAGAAAGACATTGTAATACAGATAGGTAAAGACAGCCTAAATTCAGTTTGTATGCCTTCTACCTCTGTTGTACGGCTCTATTTTCTCTTGTGCAAATGTAGCATTTTTATCTTTTCAATCAGAAATGCTCAAATCATGGGGAACTGATTTATTGTAATCAAACATTGAAGATTCACACTCTTTTAAAAAAATTTAGTTGATAGCATTTATGCCTTGATACTGGGAATTCATTTATATTTTATTATTTATTTATTTATTTTTAAAGATTTTATTTATTTATTTGACAGAGAGATAGAGAGAGAGAGAGCACAAGTAGGCAGAGAGGCAGACAGAGGGAGAGGGAGAAATAGGCTCCCCGCTGAGCAGGAAACCCGACGTGGGGCTTGATACTAGGACCCTGGGATCACGACGTGAGCCAAAGGCAGATGCTTAACCAACTGAGCCACCCAGGCGCCCCAAGGAATTCATTTATATTTTAAATGGAATATTCCTTTTCAATTAAAATCTCTGAGGAAAATAAATTTCAATAAATTTAGAATCAAAAGAATCTAAGATGTATGATCTTCAGTGCTATCTTTATAACACTTGTGATATGTGACTTTAAAAAGTGGGAATGGTTATCCCAAATAAAATTATAGATTGTTTGGAAGATTAAAAGCAACAGCATATGTAAAATACCTAGTATAGTGCCCAGCATAGAATAGGGACTCAATAAGTCATATCCATTCAGGGTTGAGGGAATGAATGAAGGCAGAGAAAAAAAAAATTCTAAGGCAGGAATCAAGTCTGTCTCATCATCATTCAGTGTATTATGACACCTACCATAAGATTTGAAACCTAGTAGGTTCTAAGAATGTCTACTGAATAAATGGGTATATTATGTGGAAGAGAAGACATGCTAAGCTGCCATCTATTCTGAGAAAAGAGGGATACAAATATAAATATGGAAGAGTACTACCTTATGTTACAGTGTCAAAGGAGGAAGTTGGCTTAGAGTAGGCATTTCTACATACATCAAAGAGTGTCAAACTAGAGGTGGAAACAATGTGAATGACAACAGATCTGAAAAAGAAACTGTATCCTGACCTCTGAGGTGGTTCCTACAGACACATTAAGGAAAACAGGCCAGACACTGATGCTTACTGTTAGATAACTGATTAACTCTAGTCACCTGACTTGAACTTCAGTCTGTATCCTTTTGTATTTTCATTAGATGATATCCAGACATAAACTAATCACTGTAGGAGCCTTGACAGTATGGGTTAATTTATCACTGTTGCCTAGATAGTACTGAAAGAATACTTAACAACCTTTGCATAGGTATCTTCTTTCCCCAATTAAATACACTCCCATAATATAAACATTTTTAGGCTTTTATCTCAATTTATATACCAATATTCCAATTGTTCCAGGTTTAATACATATGTACTAGAGCATAATACTATTATGGCATATTATTTGGCTTAGATGTATTAATGGGGTACAACCTCTCAAGTTTTGCCTGCTTAAGGTCTTCATTAACTAAATGATACTAATTTCTTATTTACTAGTAGAGACTCTCCAATATAAAATCCTCTCTTGATGCTGGTTACTGAGTCAGAAAATTTTATTACCAAACAATACTCTCACTCTTATTTTATAATAATAAAATGTTATTATAAAAATGTCAATATTAATAAACATCTATATCTTAAGCATAATAAACACAACTCACTGAAGGAATTGTATTTAAGTTCACTGTACTTTTAATATGGTTTTATCTCATCACTGTTTTTACAACTGCTAATCCTCCAAGTACTAATACACTCTGATGAATTCTTCCTCACCAACTTTCCTTTTATCTGAAGGATTATTTCTCAAAGTTTCCTCTATGTTCTGCAGTGTTTAAGAAAATTACATACCTATAGTCTAATATTTTTAATGTGATGATAGCGTGTACATTGACTCTGGATTCACTTGGTAGTGTCATGGCAGTCTCAACAGAATCACTTTGGCTAGGTCCATCATCTGGCAAGAGAAAAGTTATATGAAACCAATATATACACTATAAAGTCATTTTTAAATTCTTGTATATATATAAAAATGGTATACATGATTTCTAGATATTATTGGTAAGAATGTCTTTAATCATATACTTTATTTCTAGTAACTCAAATCTAGATCTAGAATTTAACATTTAATTAATAGAAAATAGAAAAAATTATTATAATATGGCTTTAAAATCTTTTAATAAATCCTACCAAGAAAATGTGGGAGTAGGAAAGAAACTTCAAAGAATAACTACAATCTCTCAGAAGAAACAATGACACTAATCCTTCCTCTTAAGAAAAATAATATGGTCTATTAGAATTTGTTAACAAAGGAAAAATATTACTTCCCACAAATGTCTACCAAATAGGCATACACCTATCTCCTGAGTTAGGACATATGGAAACTGATTATCCTTGATCACTTGAAACTGGGGGATTTACATAATTGAGTAAGCTTTTGATACATTATTCATGTTAAGAGGTTTTTTTTCAGCAAATGCAAGACTTTATTTTCAATAGAAATTCCTAACATACATGCATACTTACACACTCACACACAATTAACTTCCTCACTAGTTTCCAAAGACTGTTTTAACACCGCCATCATATGGTATAAAGAACAAAACAAACATAAGTCATACACATCAAAAAGAAATGGCTTGTGACTTACTGGCAAAAGAGACTTCAAGCCATCCAGACAGAAGTAAAATAAGACTATTAATTTTCAACAACATGAAAAAAATGAAATAGTCCTAGCATTCATCATACGTTAAGAGCATAAGGCATACCAAAAGAACATAAAACAATTAGTAGTATCTCTGATCTTGCTTCAGCCCAGCAGGCATTTAATGAACATTTGTTGAATACTATGAAGTATTATTTCTCTTGCATGGAGCTCATCAATTATTCACTAATCAATATCACTAAGCTAGTATTTCTTATGCAAATATCATATGAATATTTTGTTCATAGAAGAAGCACAGAATAAAAGACAGTATCAAATAGAAATAAAAGACATCTAAATATTTGTTAGTATTAAGTAAATCCTTTGGTATTTAGAAGTACCCTAGCATTTTGGTTATGTCATTTTAAAGAATATATAATATATATTGCCAAATTACATCAGCAGATAGGCAACATGAAACCAGCAACAAAACCCAGCATTATTTTTTAAATATACATGTATACTAGCATGACAACATACTGAGATGAGTATTCTCAACACTTTCCAAAGAGCTACCTTTAATAACCACATTATATCTTGAAGAAGAAGAAGATGATGATGATGATGATGATAGCAGGAGAGGAAGAATGAAGAGGGGAAATCGGAGGGGGAGACAAACCATGAGAGACTATGGACTCCGAGAAACAAACTGAGGGTTCTAGAGGGGAGGGGGGTAGGGGGATGGGTTAGCCTGGTGATGGGTATTAAAGAGGGCACGTTCTGCATGGAGCACTGGATGTTATACGCAAACAATGAATCATGGAACACTACATCAAAAACTAATGATGTAATGTATGGTGATTAACATAACATCATCATCATAATAAAAAAATCAGCATCAAGAAGAATGTAAAGAGGGAGCCCATTATCCCTTAGGAGAAGACTATACTAGAGATAGACTTTCTTTTCATTATATATCCTTGTATATTGGTTGAAATTTTTTTTACCATGTATATTTACTGACTTTTTAGTTAAAAAACCTAAGATGGCAATATTCCTTAAATTGATCTACAGATTCAATGTAATCCCTATCAGAATCCCAGCTGACTTCTTTGTAGAAATCAACAAACTGATTCTAAAATTCATGTGGGATTGCAAGAAATGCACAATAGCTAAAACAAGACTGAGAAAAAAGAATAAAGGATTTACCCTTCCCAATTTCAAAACTTACTACAAATCAATGATAATCAAGAGATTGTGGTACTGGCACAGGATAGACATACAGATCAATGGAATAAAATTGAGAGTTCAGAATGAAACCTGTATTTCTTTCTGGTCAAATGATTTTCAACAAAAATGACAACACCACTCAATAAGGAAAGAATAGCATTTTCAGGAAATGGTGGAAGGAAACTGGATAGCCACATGCAGAAGAATTAAATTGGATCCTTATCTCATACCATATATAAAAATCAACTCAAAATGGATCAAGTACTTAAATGTAAGAGCAAAAGTATAAAACTCGTAGAAGAAAATATAGGGAAGAATTTTCATAAAACAGGTTTTTGCAAAGGATTTTTAGACATGAAACCAAAAGCATAAGGAAAAAATAAATAAATTGACTTCATCAAAATTAAGATAAAAAAAACCTTTTGTATTTCAAAGGACTCCACCAAGAAATGAAAAAACAAACCCACAAAGGACAAGAAAATACTCGCAAATCATGTATCCAACAAGACATTTTTATCCAGAATGCATAAAGAACTATAACTCAATAATAAAGATTAAAAAAATTAAAAATTGGGCAAAGGATCTCTCATGAACATACATGCAAAATTCCTCAACAAAATACTAGCAAGTTGAATATTAAAAAGTATTTTAAAAATTATACACTGTGACTAAGTGGGATTCAACCCAGGTATTTAAGTCTAGTTCAGCATTCAAAAATCAATGTAATGTTTCACATCAACAGGCTAAAAAAAAAGAAAACTTACATGGTCGTATCAATAGATGCATAAACAAACACTAACACTGCTTTATGATAAAAACTCTCAGTAAACTAGGAACAGAGGGGAACTGTCTCAACTTAATGAAAAGTATCTACAAAAAACCTACCACTCACATCATACTTAATAGTGAGAAACTTGAAGCTTTCCCCCTAAGGTTAGGCACAAGGTAAGGATGCCCCCTCTCACCACCACTCCTTCTGAACATCATACTGAAATGTCCTTGTTAATGCAATACAGTAAGGAAATGAAATAAAAAGTATGTAAATTGGGAAGGAGGACATAAAATAGTCTTTGTTCACAGATGACATGATCATAGGTAGAAAATCTAAAAGATGTGACAAGAAAAACCTGAAACTATTAAGTGATTATAGTAAGGTTGCAGGATACAAGGTGAATATATGAAAGTAAATTGCTTTCCTTTATATCAATAAGTAGAATCTGAAATTAAAAACACAATACTAATTATATTAGCATCCCCCAAATGCAATACTTATATACAAATATGACAAAATATGTATAAGAACTCTATGAGGAAAACTAGAAAACTCTGATGAATGAAATCAAATAACTAAATAAATGGAGAGACAGTCCATACTCATAGATAAAAGGTCTCAATAATGTCAAGATGTCCCTTCTTCCCTACTTGATCTATAGATTCAATGCAATCTCAAACAAAATCCCAGCAAATTATTTTGTGGATAGTGACAAACTGACTCTAAAATTTATATAAAGCAGCAAAAGACTCAAAATGGCCAACACAATATTGACTGGAGAAAAACAAAATTGGAAGACTGGCACTATCCAACTTGAAGACTTACTATAAAGCTACTGTAACTGAGTGTGAAGCTGACAAAAGAACAAATAGATCAATAGAACAGAACAGAGAGCCCATAAATAGACCTCCATAAATACAGTCAACTCATCTTTGACAAAGGAACAAAGGCAATAAATACAATGTAGTAAAGATGGGTCTTTTCCACAAATGGTGCTGAAACATCAGGAAATCCACATGCAAAAAAGAATAGATTTATTCATAACTGCCAATACTTGGAAGCAACCAACATATGCTTTAGTAGGGTGAATAAATAAACTGTAGTACATCCAGACAATAGGTTATTCAGTGCTAAAAAAAAATGAACTATCAGGCCATGAAAAGCATGGAGGACACTTAAATGTGTACTACAAAATGAAAGAAGTCAATCTGAAAGATTCCAATTATATGACATTCTGGAAAAGGCAAAACTATGGAAACGAAAAGATTAATGGTTGCCAGATATGGGGTGATTGAGGGGATAACAGGATAAATAGACAGATCACAGATTTTTAGGGCAATGAAAATACTTTGTATGATATTACAATGGGGAATATATATCAGTTGTCCAAATCCATAGAATATACTACACCATTATGATGTGTCAATGCAGGCTCATCCTTGGTTAAAAATTGTACCATTCAGGTAAATGATTTTGATAAATGGGGGAGGCTATGCATGTGTGGGGCCAGAGGATATATGGGAAATATCTGTACCTTCCTCTCAATTTCGTTGTAAACCTAAAACTACTCTAAAAAAATTAAGTCTTTTTAAATTTTTATTATTCTGATATGACCTCTAACTGACTCATATCATAATAATTAAATTTTTCTGGAGGAGAAAGTATACCTGGAAAAGAAAGGAAACTCCTTGATTGGCAGGAACTAAGAGTCTTAGAAAATTACATTAATTTATTTGAAGGTCAAGGTGGAAAATGAAAATTGCTGAAGAATATAATTATCTTATTCATTTAACATACACTGACTGGCAATATGGTGGTAGGTTAGGCTGTGCATAACCAACAGAGTCATGAACTAAATTAACAGTTGCTGTATTTAGCCACTCAGTTGTAGAGTGTTTGTTATACAGCAATACACTAGTATAGCTGAATTTTTTTTAATACTCTAGTGTATTCTACAATGATATACCTAAAATAAAAATTGGGATATAGTACAATTTTAGTGAAGCATTAAAAATTAAATGTATAGTATCATTTTCTCTTTTGGTACATGTTCATGTTAAATTAACATATCCTGAAAAATGTGTTTTATCTTTATACTTGTCAGAACTTAGCACAACTATGCATGAAGCAGATATTCAAATAACTATTAATATACTTCCCAGTCAATAGCATTCATATACTATATCATAAAAGTCAAGTTTTGCTCTTTTTATCAAAGTTAAAGCACTAAGATGCTTACTGAATCTGTTATATTTTCCAATTGATACACTGTAACACAAATCAAAGAAATTAAGGATAAAATATTATTATTGTGAATTTAAGGATGTTTTTATAACTTCAGCATATTTATGACCTATATGGATTCAGAATTAGAATCACATCTGCCAGGGACCATTTCCTCTAATTATTTACACCCAAAATACATGTAAATTTATGTACTGTTAGTACTTCACTGCGTTTCATATTATCCTTCAAAATACAGGAAAAAATAGAAAAGCACCTTTAATCTTGCTTCGCAGATATTTTAAGACTTCTTGGGTTCCTTTCTGAAAAGGTGGAGAGAAGACACATATTCACCAAGATATACCTTGCAGTTTCATAGATTAACATGCATGTTTGAATTTCAAATTTAAAAACCAGAACTGAATTCTAAATATGCTTACATTTATAATTTCTCTTCGTATAGTTCTCAAAGGATTTCCTTCTAGTGCCAGAAATTTCAAATGAAGTTTTCCCAATGAACAGGGTAGACTACAAAAAGATTAAACTGATTTCAGGGAAAACATGAAGAGTAAGTATAATTCAACCAATAGTTGACTATAAAACTAACAACATATGACAAACTATATATCATATAATAGTGTCAAAGAGAGCTCAGGTAACATAGGCCTAAAGTATCTCCCTTTGAAATGCTGAACATGTTAAAAAAAAACAGATTTGTTTTGAAATTGTCATATTGTGATTGCTAAAAAAAAAATGTGAGCTACAAAACATTTGCTAAGTAAAAATTGTAAAAAGTAAATTTGAATGAATCAGTGATTCAAGATAGCCATACTCAAGCATACTAAATGTTTTGATTTTTTTCCTTCAAGTAAGCAAATGAAATTCTTCCCTAATAACATAATATTATTTAGGTTATTTATTACTACAAAAACACTCCTATCCCAAAACTACTGTGATCAACCTACAATACCAATTTATTATTTTTCTTTTTCTTTTTTTTTATTAAAGATTTTATTTATTTGACAGACACAGTGAGAGAGGAAACACGAGCAGGGGGAGTGGGAGAGGGAGAAGCAGGCTCTCCGCGGAGAAGGGAGCCCGATGCGGGGCTCGATCCCAGGACCCTGGGATCATGACCTGAGCTGAAAGCAGACGCTTAACAACTGAGCCACCCAGGCACATATTTTTTAATGAGATTATAATCAAACTGCTTCTGTTCTTAATCTTTCAGTAGCTCCCCATCTCTTAACGAATGAAACTTACTCTTCACAGGCATAAATGACCTATTCTATAATGGCCTCAATTTACCTTCAAGCCCTAAATTCTTACAGTCTCTCTAATTGTACCCTATTTACCAGGTCAAGTTGATTCCTTGTTCTCTCAATATACCCCTACAATTTCCTGAACTTTCAAGGTTTTCTTTGTGCAGTTTTGCCCCACCAAGTGAATCATTCTGACCACCGTACATGGGCACTTGCAACTCATGGTCATCCTTTAAAGATCATATGGTGGGACCAGAGTGAGGCATGACCCTGAAGGTGAGTGTGCTCTTAAATTCTGTGCTCTAGGCACTTAACTTGCCTCACCCTAGTCCCAGTCCTAATGATCATCTAAAAACATTTTTTCTGGAGTGCTGGGTGGCTCAGTCAGTTGGGCGTCTGCCTTCGGCTCAGGTCATGATCCTAGGGTTCTGGGATCGAGTCCCACATCAGGCTCTCTTGTCAGCGGGGAGCCTGCTTCTCCCTCCCCTCTCCTTCTGCCTGCCGCTCTGCCTACTTGTGATCTCTCGCTCTCTCTCTGTCAAAAATAAATAAATAAATCTAAAAAAATAAATAAAATAAACAAAAACATTTTTTCTTCTACAAAATCTGCCCTGATTCCTCTCAATAAATTGCTGATACCTCTATTTCCTTTAAGCCCTCAAAGCATTTTATATCTCTCCCATGGCTTTACATTCATTTAATAAATTCAACAAATATTTATCAGGTACCTTCTAAATACCCAGACACTGATCTACGAGTCAGAGATAGAGCAGTGAACAAAACAGATAAAAATCCTGACTTCTTAGTTTATGTTCTAAGTGGATTAGAAACTTATAAAGATATCTGATTCTATTAGTATTTTAAGCTTGCTGCCAAGGACCAAATCTAACCATTCTTTGTAAGTCTGCATATGATACTTGTTCAATAAATGTTTAGTGAATTCAATTGAGAAAAAAGATCTCTACATGTTTTTTTACAAATCTTATTTACTCATTAACTTATGAATTATAAGCAAATGCAGGTATGACTTCTTATTCCTTTGATCTTTAAACTTACCTACTAATATCATTGTTGCTTAGGTCAAGCCTTTCCAAAGACTGTAGTAGTGTAATTTCATCTGGAACAGATTTTAACTTATTATCCCGCAGGTCTAGCATAAGGATAGAATTCAGATGCTTAAGATGTTCTGGCCCTAATATTTCAATCTGGTTTTCACCTACATGTAATTCCTACAAAACCAAAGATGAATCATATGTATTTCTGTATTCAATTTTATATTAGATAATAAAAATAAAATTGAAATCTTAATTTCAAATCACTGAAAAATACATGGAAAAAACGTAAGTTTCTAATTACTAAGGTGCTTAAGTTTTCAATTACAATTAAGCTAAAAATGGTAAAAACAGAACATTTTCAAGGATTTTCTGATAATTTAAAAATAATTAAAGATATAACCTGGCAGAAAGTTCAAAGTTTACAAATCAAAGCACAGAAATGATTTAGTAGTTACATTTATAGAATTAATAAAAATACAAATCCAAGAACGATGCTGATAAAAAATGTAAAGTTTAAAAATAAGTTGGAATGAGCATAAAAAGTTATAATCAGTTTGTTGTTATTTCTTTATTTATTTGAGAGAGAGAGAGAGAGAGCACAAGTGAGCAGGTCAGAGGCAGAGGGAAAGAGAAAAACAATCTCCAGGAGACTCAATGCTCTGTGGGGAGCCCTACACAGGGCTCCATCTCATAACCCTGAGATCATGACCTGAGCAGAAACCAAGAGTCAGACACTTACCCAACTGAGCCACCCAAACACCCCTCATTAGTGATTATTAAATATAGTGATTTCCCATTAACAGAATCTATAATTATCAGATGTATAACTAATCTTTAAATAACTTTTTCAATTCCTTTTATCACTGCTACCATTCTGTTTAAGAGAAGCTCTTTTAACTCTAACACATAAAAGTATACATGAAGGAAAACAAAGCATGGCAAATTTAAAAGACAATGTTAATGCTATATACTTAAAAACAAAAGAAAGTAATTAATTTTAAACAGACCCAATTATGATCAGGTAAACATGAGCGGTGGCAACTTACAGAATTAGATACATATTCCTTCCTAGTACTCCAGGTGTCCTACAGTATGACTCCACCTTACTATGTTAGCTTCATTATCTACCTCTCCAGTTATATACTACTCTCCAGATGAAATGTACAAATTCCTATATTTAAGTTAATTATTTCTTTAAAAAAAAAAATCTACTGCTGGGCGCCTGGGTGGCTCAGTCGGTTAAGCATCTGTCTTCAATTCAGGTCATGATCCCAGAGCCCTGGGATCGAGCCCGGCATCAGGCTCCTTGCTCAGCAGGGAATCTGTTTCTCTCTCTCTCTCTCTCTCTCTCTCTTCCTCTGCCCCTCCCCACTGTTCATTCTCTCTCTCTCTCAAATAAGTAAATAAAATCTTTAAAAAAAATTTACAAGCTTCTTAAAAAAATCTGCTAACAATACCATTAACATAGACTAAAATTCTGAAAAATATAGGAAAAACATTGCACTTATAACTAATACATATTCCCAATGTAAAACAAGATTAAAAATTTCCTTTTCATAATTAACTTTTGGAAAATATATAGTTTAATAATCATCTAAATATTACCTTTAATAATCTACAAGAAGGAAATTCTGGTAGAAAACGTAATTTATTCCTCCGCAAATAAAGCAATTCTAGTGACTCCATGTTAGCCAATTCAGGGGGTACAGCTTCTAAGAGATTTGAATTACAATCCAAATGCTTTAATCCTATAATACATAGTAAGTGAAAAACAAAAATACTTTAATAAAGAGAAAAATATTGATCTATAATTGTATATACATTCAAAAAATGTGTACATCATCATGAATTATAAACCCATGCCACTGTATACTGCTATAATAATAAAGAATACTAGAATACCACTGAATGAAATAAACATAAACTGAGATTGCTTTTATTAATTATAATTAAAGAGATACGACATTAAAAATGATGTTTAGGGCACCTGGGTGGCTCAGTTGGTTAAGTGACTGCTTTCGGCTCAGGTCATGATCCCGGAGTCCAGGGATCGAGTCCCATAACGGGCTCCCTGCTCAGCAGGGAGTCTGCTTCTCCCTCTGACCCTACCCCTCTTGGGCTCTCTCTCTCTTACTCAACTCTCTCTCATAAATAAATAAAATCTTTAAAAAAAAAATGATGTTTAATAATGGTCCAAGTCATCTTTGTAATGGTAAAAAACAAAATACTCTAGTACTCTGTTAAAGTATTCTAAAATATACAAACTACAGACTATGAGATATTATTTCCCTCAGTTATTATACATCTATATTTTTTTAAAGATTTTATTTATTTAGAGAGAGAGAGAGCAGGGGGAGGGACAGAGAGAGAGGGAGAAAGAGAATCTCAAGCAGATTCCACAGTGAGCATGGAGCCTGACCCAGGGCTTGATCTCACAACACTGACATCATGACCTAAGCCAAAATCAAGAGTCAGCCGCTCAACCAACTAAGCCACCCAGGCGCCCCAGTAATTATATATCTTTCAAAAGAAAAAGTTTAAGGTAGTTAAAGACATACATGCATGCATACTAGCTGTATGAATGGATGTCAAATAACTGGCTAGTAGTAGCTTAGACACATGTATTTAAATTTGGCAAGTTGACTTTCTGTCAAAAAGCCTTGGATTTCTATGCTTGTCCCCCTATTCTTCCATCTATCCATACTGCTTCTTTCTCCCTCCGTCTTCTTTCTTTTCTTTTCTTATTTTTGTTTAAATTACATGCTTTCTCTAACATCTTAGCTAACACTATGGACAAGAATGCATACTATAGCTCAAGAAGGATGTTCTTACTCGCAGCATCTCTCTTACCTCCTGGATCTATCTTTCTTAAAAAGGCATATAAGAAAACAAAAATGGAAAAAAGTAAAGGTCTTCTTTCCCTTAAGAATTCAATAAGCAGCTTTCTCCCTAATACATATCACAGATTCTTTTACTTACGATGGCCACCACATATTTTCCACAATTCACTCTCAACCCTCTAGTTCGAATAGGTGATATACACTTTACAACTTTTTTGCTGTACTTTGAGCCTATCAATTTTAACATAATGCAAGACTGAGCTGATATTGCCTTAGACTGCTTCTTTTAGTATTTAAAGATGCTAACTGCTTTCAAAACAAATGTAATAGTACTACTTTCAACAAATACTATAATAATTTATGTATTACTTGACTAGAGCATTTTTAAAAATGTCACAACTGGGAGACTGGGTGGCTCAGTCCATTAAGTGTCTGCTTTCAGCTCGGGTCATGATCCCAGGGTCCTGGGATCGAGCCCCTCATCAGCCTCCCAGATCAGCGGACAGTCTGTTTCTCCCTCTGCCTCTCCCTTTTCCCCTGTTTGTGCTCTCTCTCTCTTGCTCTCAAATAAATAAATAAATATAATCTTTAAACATAATAATAAAAAAATAAAAAATGTCACAATGTGATTCACCTCAAGTCCAGTAAATTCTATAAAGAAAAGTTTGTTTTAAAAGTTAGACACTTTGGTTTCACAACTGTTTGCATTTAAGAGCACTGATAATATAAGCAGTGAATAGTGGAAAGAGCAATGGGGATGGAGTTAAGAGGATTCAAGCCTTATAGAACTGTTGTGATTCAAGCCTTGGCTCTACAAGATAACATAATTTCTTTTTTTTTTTTTTAAGGTTTTATTTATTTGACAGAGAGAGACACAGCGAGAGAGGGAACACAAGGAGGGGGAGTGGGAGAGGGAGAAGCAGGCTCCCCACTGAGCAGGGAGCCCGATGCGGGGCTCGATCCCAGGACCCTAGGATCATGACCCGAGCCAAAGGCAGACGCTTAACGACTAAGCCACCCAGGCGCCCCTATATAACATAATTTCTAAGCGAGGTTTATGAATCTTTAAAATGTAAAAAATATTCATCCCCCTAACTTACACCCTCCTAACATCACAACTTTGTGATGGCAAAACAATATACATAAAAGCATTTGAGTTATAAAGAACCACACAAATGTTAGATGTTGTTCTTGGCGTCCAGTCCTTAATAGTGAAATAACAACTAAATGTCCTACTGGTGATAGTTTAAAAGTATCACTGCCATGGCTAAAGGAAGAAAGCATCTGATCATTAATTATATAGTATATTTATATATAAATATATAGTATATTTATACTGCTATAAATTCAAAGTATTTTTCTACTGATTTCCCTCTTTTCCCATCTCTCAAGATATGTTCACCCAACTGATGAAAAAAAAAATCCAAGCTTCTTATATATTAAGATAATGTATTTTATGTTTAGCTCTACTTTTTAATACCTTTATTGAAAAATGGCAAAGATAAGCAAAGTCTTAATTACCGGTGTCCCAAGTAAAGGCTCCCCTAAAATATCAACTGGATTTACGGAAGATTTAACTTATGTATTCCTATTACAAATGACAAATGACTACTAATATAAGTAAAACAGCACAATTTTACAAATTTATCTCAAAATGATTTGTAATCAACTATACAAAATCACTCCTATAACTTCCACAAGATGGAGGTTTAAAAAAATGAAGAGGGCTTATATCTGATTAGCAGAAAAGACTAGATAAGGTAAATAGTGTACAGCTGACACACAGTATGTTCATCAGCCAAGTAATAATAGTTTGCTTTTAAACAAAAAAAATCACTATAATGATTTTGCCCTCTAAATCAAGAATTCTAAGATAATTAAGTATAATTATTTAAAAGGTACTGAAATGTGCCTTCAATTTCTTTATCCCTTAATGTTAGTTCTAGAATATGTTAAATATGATGGTGATATGGTAAACTCCAATAGAATCACTATTTTAACCTTTTTTTAAAAAAAAAAAAGATTGACCTTTGGGCAAAACTAGACTATCTCCTGGCATCATTACTTATGGACCACGAGGAGGCTACAGCTATAACATAACCACAAGTAGAATCTCCTATTAAAGGGGAATAACCTTAGTGAATGTTGAATGAATGAAGAAATAACATAGCTCAAAACCCTAATCAATATCTCAGGTATATAATTTTACCATAACTCATAATCATACTTTATTTTCCTCTTTTTAATATGCCAAAATATGCTTTCGGTGGGAACTGTTTAGGAAGTTAAGCTAGACAATAATGGTCTGGAGAAAATCTGACTACTTGCTATTATTTGCTTGACCCGCATAAAATCTATTATTTTACTTCCCTGTAACTAATAATATTAAAATTCATCTTTCTAAATATAAGTTGCACCAACTTCACATTTATGTATGTTTTAAAATAGAGAAGATTTACTTTTCATTCCACTTATTTCTGCTGGCAAACTCTTCAGTTGATTACTGGAAAGATTGAGTCGTACCAGACTGGAGAGAGAAGAAAAACTAGGAGGAACAGTTGTAAGACGATTGTTGGAAATATCCTTTAGAAAGAGAAAGAATGAATGAATCAATCAACCAATTAATCAATCGATAAATAAATAAATAATTGATCCCTCGAAGGGTTTCCAGGATTTTGAGGAGAATGCAATATAAAGAAAGACTATTTCAAAGGTGATATGTTTTGTAACCCTCATTCACTCACAATTTCACAAGTCTTTCTTTCACAAGAAAGGAATCAGAATGAATTCTGACTTCAGAAATACTTTACATAAAGGTTTCTGTTATTGCTAAGTCATGCTATATCATGCATCATGTTTTTAATTAAAAAATCCATTTGTCCATCTAATATTTATTGAGTACCTAGGATAATTAGGCAAACTGTATAGGTAAACTGTAATATGAAAGGAAAAATGTCTTTGCAAGAGAAAAAAAATCTTGAAAGACAAAAAATAAAGCTGAGAAAATGGACATTTTAATTTTTAAGGAAAAAAATATTCCCTCTCGGTTTTTCTGCAGACCTCAGCAAGTCTGCTTTGACTAAGTCCAGAAGTTTACTCTACTCTCTGCTTTTCCTTCATTCAAGATTAACTGTTTTTTTAAGTCATTGTTTGTTTTTTCTTTAAAACATAAACAGTTAAGAAAGAATTTTTTTTTGAAACTCCATTTAAAAGACAATCAGATAACTCTTATGACATCTGAATTAGGTATAAGTACTCCATTAGCTATCAGCAAACTGTTAGGTAGGGCCAGTTGCAACAATGAATAAAAAAAAGTTACTTAAGGGAACTTGGTCTCTGAAGACCCATTTAGTCTAACATTAAACAATTACATTCTGTAACTCTAAATCAATTAAGAAGATAGTAAAAGGTAGAAACACTAGACCAGCTATTTTTTTATAAAACACAGATACAATTATAAATAACACAAAATTATGTATCATAATCAACAGGAAACAACAATCTACAACTCCAATACTCTAAACACTAAGAATGAACAGATTACTATGAAATAAATACTTTGTAATATCAAAAGTTACTGATACTAAATGCAATGTAGTATTCTGGATTGGATCCTGGAACAAAAAAAAAAGGATATTAGTGGGAAAACTGGGAAAATCTTAATAAAATCTGTAGTGCAGTTAGTAATACTGTACCAATGTTAATTTCTTAGTTTTTCAAATGTCCCATGGGTATGTAAAATCTCAAATTAAGGAAAGCTAGGTGAAGAGTATATGGCAACTCTCTGTATTATCTTTATATTTGTGTAAATCTAAATTTATTTCAAAATAAAAAACTTAAAAAAGTTTTTGATACAGAAAAGATTAATTCACAAATTCTTAAGATATTTTAAAAAACCCAAATCAACAAAATTACTAATAAAGTTAAACATTTAATTATTGCAGGGGCACCTGGGTGGCTCAGTTGGTTAAGCGCTGCCTTCAGCTCAGGTCATGATCCCAGGGTCCTGGGATCAAGCCCTGCATCGGGCTCCCTGCTTGGCGGGAAGCCTGTTTCTCCCTCTCCCACCCCCACTGCTTGTGTTCTTTCTCTAGCTGTCTCTCTCTCTCTCTGTCAGTTAAATAAGTAAATAAAATCTTAAAAAAAAAAAACATTTAATTATTGCAGTCAATAATTAAATTAGATATAAAATATAAGTACATTATACATAAATTAATCAGTATTTATGCTGTCATTTCTTCAATAAATATTCATTTAGTACCATTGCTAAGCAGCTTTTATGTAACTTAAAGAAATATTACTAGCTTAAATTATTAAACATGCTTATATTTCTAATGTTGTGATATACTGTTGCTCACATTTATGATTTGATACTGAGTCCTTAATAATACAATTCTCAACTGAAATATCCTTTCATTATGCAAATGACTATCTGGGAACCCATTAAAAGGAAACAACTGGGAACTGCTACAGTTTATTAGGTTTCCTTTCTAATCTAAATACTCTTCTTTTCTTATTTATCAATTGCTATCTTTTACCATTACTTTATAAGAAAATCTGATGGCCCCTTCCTTAGCCATTCATTTTATCTACCTATGCTTTTAACTTTCCAAACCTTACTTCCAATCTGATCAAATTGAAAGATAGATACTGAAGAATGGCTGTGGAGGGTTATAAATGTTGATTTCAAACACTAGAGCAGATGAGAGGAATATCAAGGAGGATGTATTCACAGGAAAAAAAAAAATAGAGGTAAAAGAATTAACTTCCCCTTTAATGAGAAATAAACTTTAAGACTAAATTGACGTAAGTTTTTGAAAATATGTAATAGGTAAAACAACAAGAATGTAAGAGGAGATAACTATGTGGAGTAAAGATTATATATTAGAACAAGTAATCTAATCTAGCTAGTCTTTCAGATCAAGTATTTTAGTGGAATCTTACTCCTTCAGGGGTATAATGGGAGAAAAAAAGGGATACACTTTAGAGTCAAACTGACATGTTAAAATCCTGAATTCATTACTTATTAGTTACATGGCTTCAGATAAGATACTTTTTTTTTTTTAATAAACCGTAGTTCCATATCTGTATTAGGGGATAAAACTATGTACCTTGCTATATGTAAAGCACAAAGCAATGTGCCTATTATTCTCATTATTCTTAAAATAATATCTGTATTGCTTTATGGTTATCTCTATTTAGGATGTGACACAGATGGAATGAAAATTTTGTGAGGTAAGGTGGACATTTTGAAAAATAGGGAAGGAAAGGCAGGCCTTAAAGGGACTGTCTGAACACTCAAAGGACAGGAGGGTTATAGGGACAATAAAGAAGGAATGGGTATACAAATGGAAATTCTTATATGCTAAAGATACCTTTCCCCTATTTTGCAAAGCCATAAAATCCTCTGAATAACAGTCATCCTTATCACCCCCTTCCCACACTCTATTCTTAAATTAAAACCTAAGGTAATTTTATAAGAAAAAATAGGAAAAATAAATTTACAATTACTAATTTAGCAATCTAATTGAATGCAGTTTCTGATAATCTAGTCCTATAATCATCTGTCCATGTTTTTCATGATTTCAATCATACATCCAATTTCTCAGCCTGATGAAAAATCACATCAGCCCCAAATTATATAAAAATTGGAAAATCACAACTTACCAAATCTTCTAAATTGAAAAGTTGTTCAAATCCCTCTGGAATGCAAGTTAGTTCATTATGCTGGAGATATAGACCTTTCAGGTTTCTTAAATTTGTAATTTCTTCAGGAAGTATTTGCAGTTTGTTATGGCTATTGATTGATAAAATAAATGCTGAGTAATTCAGTAACAACCTAATAAATATTTGTAAAGGTATTTTTGCTAACCAACTACATGGGCTCATTTTTAAAAATGAAATATGGTTACTAATTCTAAAAACTTATCAAACTTCACATCCTAAAAGTATATAACTCATTAAGATTATAGTCATCTAAAGTAATTAAATTGAGAGTTTCAAAGAAAACAAAGAAATAAAGGTTTTTATTATTTTTTTTTTAAGATTTTTATTTATTTGACAGAGAGAGACACAGCGAGAGAGGGAGCACAAGCAGGGGGAGTGGGAGAGGGAGAAGCAGGTCTCCCTCCGAGCGGGGAGCCCTGGGATCATGACCTGAGCCGAAGGCAGACGCTTAACGACTGAGCCACCCTGGTGCCCCAAGAAATAAAGGTTTTTAACCAAATAATTTGTGAACTTTTGATTGCTTCCTTATAACCTACTCTTGATTTTATACGCAATGTGAGAGGATACACTGGACTCTTAATTTTTCATACTGTATCTGAATTTTATTTTATTTTAAAGATTTTATTTATTTGAGAGAGAGAGAGAGAAAGAGAGAGTAGTGCTCATGTGAGCACAAGTTGGGGGAGGGGCGGAGGGAGAAGGAGAAGCAGGCTCACCACTGAGCAGGGAGCCCGAAGCAGGGCTCGATCCCAGGACCCCAAGATCATCACCTGAGCCAAAGTCAGACACTTAACCCGACTAAGCTACCCAGGCGCCCCTGTATCTGGATTTTAGAATTCTGACAGAGATATGGGCACATATACACTACAATGGAGTCACAGCTTCTATGGGGAATATGTTTCTAAGCTAGCACTCAAGACAAAAATAGCTATTTCTGTTTAAGGGCCTGGTATGTCCAGCTGAATGTAATGTGCAACTCCACTCTTCTTTGTACTTAGTTTTACCTTCAGCTCAGTCCTTCTGTAGAGGTACTTGGTTTATTTTTAGAAGTCCCAAGTCACTGAAGATGATACACTCCCTTATAATTAAGAGATGACCTGATTTAATTTATTCCCAGATTTACCTCAACTATTCACTTAGGAATTCCATTCTATTTTCATGCCATCTACAATTACTTAACAAATAACAGGGTGAAATGAGAAATATAATGGGGTAAAAATAACCTTAAATTATATAAAACTAGTTGGAACAAAAATACCAAAAGATGTCTTCTAAAATAAATAAAAACCACTAAAAAATTGTCAAAAATTGGTTATTATTGTTGGTCACTTAATTGAAATCTTTGTAGATTTCACAGGGATGTAGTTGGGCAGAGATGTAATTCTAGCTACATATTTCCTCCATTCCTCTCCCCATCTATTTCCTCCATCCTAACGCTTATACTCTGAAGTGTTGGAAGCTAAAGCTAAAGCCAAAGCCATACCCAATCCATACTCCCTCACATATTCTCTCAACCCTCCCCATTCTTGCCTTTGCAGGCCACATCCTGCCTTGGACTTGTATGGGGAACAGGTTCTGATGTAGCTCTCAACAACTAGCACCTTTTATGTATAGATATTTTTGTTGATTTGTTGTAATTTTTCAACAGATGAGGCTGTAACTTAAGGAAACGTTTTCCCTCAAAGCAATTAATTTACCCACAGAATACTGAGACTTGGAATATGCTATGTTAGATAGATCTGTAACCATACCAATTTTATGAACCAGAGTTTTTCAAACTATATTTTGAACACTTAATAAACCTTTTTATTTTATCTCCTAAATGAAATCTTCCCAAATCCCTTTCCCCTAATCTGCGTATATATAATACACATAAGGAACTTATTATTTCCTGGAAGTCTAGATGTGTATTAAAGGGCAAATAAAGTTACCCAGAGCCTTAGCCACCTGGCTTCCCACATACCTATCAACAAGGACCAGAACTGTAGAACTCCAGGAGTCCTCAGAAAAGTTTAAAAGCTACTAATACTAAAACCATGACATTTTTCATCATTAATGAAAGAATTATTTCAAATTTTTTCCTATTGCTTAACCTAGATATTTTTTTAGAATATAAAAGTAACTTAAAACCTGAGATATCAACAAAAAGCTTACTAAAATAACCAGTAAAAATTGCTACATAAAAATAAAACAAAAAGAGGACACATGGGTGGTTCAGTTAGTTAAGCATCTGCCTTTGGCTCAGGTCATTATCCCAGGGTCCTGGTATTGAGCCCCAGGTCCTCGGGCTCCCTGCTCAACAGGGAGTCTGCTTGTCCCTCCCTCTCTGCCCCCCTGTCCACTTGTGCTCTCTCTCTCAAATAAATAAAATCTTTTTAAAAATTAAATAAATAAATAAAATAAAACAAAAAGTACTTAAAAAAATCAGCTGGCCTTACATTTATAAAATCAGAAAAACATGCAGGCAATTCTGCAAAAATAATAAAAAATTCAACAAAAATAACCTGAGAAAATTTAAAATTCTTACTCTGGGGCACCTGGGTGACTCAGTTGGTTAAGTTCCTGCCTTTGGCTCAGGTCATGATCCCAGGGTCCTGGGATCAAGTGCCGCATTGGGCCCCCTGCTCAGTGGGGAGTCTACTTCTCCCTCTACCCACCCCGTTCTCTCTCTCTCTCACACTCTCCCTCAAATAAACAAAATCTTTAAAAATAAATAAATAAATAAAAATTCTTACTCTGCTTTTACCACTTTGAGTTAATACAAAAATATTTTCTAGTATCAAAAAATTTTTTTAAGAATATTAGATTTACACCCTTATATTAGCAATATTGAAATTAAATAAGCTTAAATTTTACCTGACATTAAGTTTCTGAAGATTTTCTAACTCTCTTATAGCAGAAGGAAGGGATGTCAGCTGATTATCATGTATCTAAAAGTTATTAAAAAACAGTCAATATCTTAGTCTTTTAATTAACCAAATGAGTTTGCCATTGTACAGAATTTTTCAACAATAATTCTGCTATTCTAATTCAACAGTATACTTGGAGTATTGTTAATTTGTTCTATGTATAGAAGAAAAGGAATTTGAAGTTGACTAAGCTCCTGTTCACAAGTCATGAAGTGATAAGTCAATTTTAAATATTACAATTAAAAAAAATAACCTTACCTCATTCAGTGGAATTTCAATCTCAAATGAGAGATGAGAGGGTTAGAAACTAATAGCACTTGGTGGTATAATTTATGTCAACATAGACAAAAAATGAAAAGAAAGAGGAGGGGGACCTCTATTATGTTCTCATATTATTTTTAAGATACAAGGAAACTTAGAGAACGTCTAAATCAATCCATTCATTTTGCAAATGAGGAAAATAAAAACTTCTCTAGAAATTTGACCAGATCCAACACTTTCAGACATGAATTGGAAGACTTCTGATGTTCCTAAGTAAAGTACATCAAAACTCCAGATTGTGAAATAAACTACTCATGCTTTACAATATGACATGGCAACGAGACTAAAAAATAGTCCTTGAATAAACACACAAGAAGTTCAATAATTTAAGTCAGTATTGAAGTTTAAAAAAAAAAAGTAATTTCAAGTACTGCTTTAATGTCTAGAATGATGAAGAGAAAAATAACAGCAATAAAAGAAAAAAGATGAGCAACAGCAACCACTTGTTAAATATGGATTCTGTTTGCATGCAATAATGCATTCAATTCTAAGAACAATTTTTAAAAATAGGTAGTAGTGTCAGTCCTGGTTTATAGATGTGGAAACTGAGGTACAATGAAGTAACTTTCCCAAGGTCACACAGCTATCAAGTGACGCAGTCAGAATTGGAAGCCTTATGTTCTGTAAGTGCACTCTTAACCATCATGCTATGCCTATCAATAATTTATTCTTCCTTACGTTCTGCCAATTAAACACGTGTTTTCTGCTTATCAAAGCCAAATTTACCTTTAGTCTCTTTAACAAGCCCTATTGATACCAGTCAACTTACATCAAGAACAGTGAGTGCAGGCAGGAGTCGTAGGTCATCTGTAAGTGACTTAAGTTTATTGTTGGATATGATTAGTTTGGTCAAATCCGTCTGCTCCCACCATCGCTCAGTAGCACTGAATGAAAGATTCTGATTAGCTTCCTCAGGAATATCCACATTTATTCTCCAGACACACCGAGGTACTATTTCCATCACCACCACACCAAAAAGAAAGAAAACAAGAAGTGAGATACTAAGTGACATACTTTTATAATAGCCATTCAGTTTATCTATTGAAAAACATTTTCTGAAACATTAAAAACTTTTTAAAAAGAGCAATAAATTACAACTAAAGTTGATTTTGTTCAAAAACAGAATGTGAGGGCGCCTGGGTGGCTCAGTTAGTTAAGCGACTGCCTTCGGCTCAGGTCATGATCCTGGAGTCCCGGGATTGAGTCCCACATCGGGCTCCCTACTCAGCGGGGAGTCTGCTTCTCCCTCTGACCCTCTTCCCTCTCGGGCTCTCTATCTCTCATTCTCTCTCTCTCAAATAAATAAAATCTTAAAAAAAATGTGATATGTATTTTATATATGAAATCTTACTTTTATTTTTTTTTTTTAAGATTTTATCTGTCAGACAGAGAGAGAAAGAGCACAAGCAGGGGGAGGGGCAGGTAGAGGGAGAGGGAGAAGCAGGCTCCCCACTGAGCAAGGAGCCTGATGCGGGATTTGATCCCAGGACTCTGGGATCATGACCTGAGCTGAAGGCAGACGTTTAACCATCTGAGCCACCCAGGTGCCCCTTACTTTTATTTTCATTCAACTATATTTACTATACACATACTCTGGACAGCACATTGTAGTAGATATATAAGACAATAAAGAAGGGACTTTATCATTATGCTAATACAATAAAAGCATGAAAATCAACATTTACAAGGTGATGTCATAAGTTTTATAACAGGAGTATATACTGTCTGAGAAAGCACTAGTAATAATAATATCTAATAATAGCTAACATTTACAAATACCAGGCAATTTTCTAACATACTCATTTAAACCTCATAATAACTCTGAGGTAGGTGCTATTACCGTTCTCATTTATAGACAAGAAAAATGGGGCACAGAATGTATAATTTACCTAGGGCTATCCAGCTAGTAGGTACCAGAAATGGGATTCAAACACATGCACAGCTATATTTTCTTGACTCTCAGTGGACATTTGGAATGTATAATTCTGGTAGCTGCTATTTTACCTAACATACAATTTTATTTCCTACTCCATCACACAATATTGTGTGATGAAATTTTTTTTTTTTTTAAAGATTTTATTTATTTATTTGACAGAGAGAGACATAGTGAGAGAGGGAACACAAGCAGGGGGAGTGGGAGAGGGAGAAGCAGGCCTCCCGCGGAGCAGGGAGCCCAATGTGGGACTCGATCCCAGGACCCAGGGATCATGACCTGAGCCGAAGGCAGACGCTTAACGACTGAGCCACCCAGGCGCCCCAGAGAAAAAATTTTTTATAAGTCACCAATGTGCCATCCAGGTTCAGTCACCAAAAAAAATTTCCAGAACAGAAAAACAAGGCAAGATGAAACAATACAAAACACACAAAAAGGTACAGAAAAAACTATGTGAGATATGCACAACTCTACTCCTAAGAAAATATATAGAGCATTTGTGCATCTATTTTTCTCTGATACCTATATATAGGTACATTAAGATGATTATAATTAAAAAGCAATGTAATAACAAATTTTGGGGGGGATGAAGGCAGGGAGCACAAGAAATTCATACACAACATAATGAAAATATCTGTTACCCATCAACTATACTAAATGAATGTTACAATTTTATCATTATTTCAGATTTTTTTGTTAGCAAAATTTGTCCTTGTGGGAACTATCAAGGAATGGCTGTTGATACTATACTGTTACTGAATATGTATCAATTTGCTTTTCCATGAACACTGACATACTGCTCTTTCTTTTCCCCATTACAGTTTGTGAGGTATCCCAATTTCTTGAAGAGCTTATAGCTTCAAGATTCATGTCACTTTTCTTTCCCTACCCACAAACACAAAGAACCACTAAAAGTTATAAAAAGTCCTAATTATTGAGGAATTCTATAGAGCCATCCTAAAATAGCTTACCAATGCATGAAACAAATACAATCAGGTAAAGATAATGTCAATAGGCATATAAATGTGAAAAAAAATTACTATGTAGTCAGGTTTATTTATTTATTTATTTATTTATTTGGCTCCACACCCAGTGTGGAGGCCAACATAGGGCTTGAACTTACAACCCTGATATCAAGACCTGAGCTGAGATCAAGATTTTGACACTTAGCCAACTGAGCCACCCAAGCGCCCCTCATTTGCTTTATGTAATATTTAAAGTATATACCTAATATTTAAAGTATATACGTAAATATTTAAAGTATATACATAAATATTTAAAGTATATACATAAATTTAGAGAATAGTATAATGAAGTAACACTCCATGTATCCATCACCCACCTATAACAATTATCAACTCATGTCCAGTCTTGCTTCATAAATAATCTCATTTTATAATGATCTAAGCTACAATCATAAACTAGAAAAAGAACGCAAAGTAAACAAAAGCAAAGAAATAGAGGGGAAATCAATGAAACAGAATAGATAAAAAACAATGAAACCAATACCTGTTCTTTGAAAATTGGAATATCACCTTAGATCCTACAGATGTTAAAAGGATAAGGGAATATTATAAACAACTTTACGTCTATAAATTCAACAGCTTAACTAAAATGAACAAATTCCTTGAAAGGGGGAAAAAAAACCACAACAGCAATATAAAACCTGAATAGCCTTGCATCTATTAAAGAAATTGAATTTGCTATTTTAAATATTCCCATTTAAATATTTAAAACATATTTAAAACAAAGAAAACTCCAAGCCCAGATGGCTTCACTGGTGAATTCTAACAGACACCTGGAGTAGAAATGATATTAACTCTACATAGACTCTTTCAGAAAATGGAGGAAAGAACAATCCCTAACTCATTTTATAAAGCCAGCATTAGCCTGATACCAAAACCAGACAAAGACATTAAAAGAAAAAGAAAAAAACTACAAACTCCCTAATGATTACAGGCCCAAAATTCCTTAACAAATTTATTACCTACATATAAAAAAATACATCAGAATCAAGTGGGAATTACATCAAGAATGAAAGACTGTTTTAACATTTGAAGATCAATGAGATCTATCATATTAACAGAAAAAAAGACACCAATGATTCTCAAGAAATGCAAAAAAAAAAAAAGCATCTGACAAAAATAAACAAGAAAAAGCTCTCAAAAACCTAAGTACTGAAGGGAATTCCTTCAACCTAATAGAGGGTTTCTATGAAAAGCATATAGCTAACATCATACATAATGGTAAAGACTAAGGGCTTTCGCCCATTATCACTACTTCAGAATTTTACTCTGGGTCCTGACCAATGTAGTAAGATAAGGAAAATAAATAAATGGCATTCAGATTGGAAAGGAAAAAGTAAAACCATCTCTATTAGTAGAAAACATGATCATCTATGCAGAAAATCCTAAGGAATCTAAAAAAATTATATGGAATGGGTTTAGAGATTCCACAGAATTCAAGGTTAATATACAAAAATCAACTGTGCTTCTATGTACTAGCAATCAATAAATGAAAATATTTTTTAAATACTTAAAGATTTGTAAGACACAGCATCTAAAACGATGAAATACTCAGGGCTAAGCTTAACAAATATATGCAAAACCTTTGGTATGAAAATAAAAAATATTGCTGTGAAAATTTAGAGAAGGTCTAGATAAGCAGATAAATATACCACATTACAAACTAATTAAGTTGTCACTTCTCCCCAAGGTGACTTACAGATTCAGCACAGTCCTAATCAAAATCTCAGATGGCGTTTCCACAGAAATTAACAAGCTGATTCTAAAATGTATTATCAAAACGCAAAAGAACTAAAATAGATAAAATAATTTTTGAAACAGTAGAAAGAAGTTGTAGAACTTAATGGTACTTGATTTAAAGTCTTGCCATAAAACATGTCAAGACAGTGTATTAGTATAAAGATATATAAATCAATAGAAAAGATGAGTTCAGGAATATTCCATGCAATAATATATTATCAATTATTTTCAACAGAAGTGCCAATTTAATAAGAAATAGTCTTTTCAACAAATGGCACAACAAATGGTAAATTCATATGGATAAAAAATGAACCTCCACCTTTACCTTATGACACACTCTAAAATTAACTTAAAATAGATCATAGACTTAAATATGAGAAACAAAACTATAAAACTTCTAAAAGAAAGCAGAGGAGAAAATCTTCACAGCCCCTGGATGGGTAAAATTTCTTAGTACAGAAAAAGTACAAATCCCAAAAGAAAAATAATTGATAAATTGGGCTTCCTCAAAACTGAAAACTTACGTTTTTCTAAAGAAATCATTAATCCTCAGAACAGGAAAATATATTAGATATCAATAGAGATAGATATCTGAGAAGTACTTCTGTTCCCAAAATATAAAAGTTCTTAAAACTTAAATACAAAGAGCCCAATTTAAAAATAGACAAAAAATCTGAACACTTGGCAGAAGATATACAAATGGCCAATGAACATTGAAAAAGATGCTCAACATCATGAGTCATTAAGGAAGTATAAATAAAATCATAAGGAGGTACTACAACACAAGCACAAGAATGCTAATGTCAAAAAGACTGACAATACAAAGTGTTGGTAATGATCCGGAGCAAATGAATCTCTCATGTTTACTAGGAGCAAAAAGCTCAGTAAATTCTTATAAAGTTAAATATACACTTATTACTATATGTCAAGCAATTCTACTCCCAGGTATGTAACTCAACAGGAATGATAACATATGTCTACACAAAGACTTTACTTGAAAGCTCATGGCAGTTTTATTCATAACAGCCAAAAACTAGAAGCAAATCAAATGTTGATCACAGGTGAATGGATAAACAAATTGAGGTATATACATACAACAGACTATTACTCAACAGTAAAAAAAACTACTGATATAAACAACAGGGATGAACCTCAGAAAACATACTAAGCAAGGGAAGCCTAAAACAGAACAAAAATTGCAAATGTATTCCATTTAAATGAAATTCTAGAAGCAGCTAATCTATATTGACAAA